TTTGTAGCCCATGCTGGCCTTGAACTCACAACGATACTCCTGCCTCAGCCTCCCGAGTGCTGGGATAATAGGGGTGTGCCACCACACCCAGCTCCAGCCCAATGTCTTTTCACTGAGCTAGATCTCCAGACCTTGTTTTATTTTTTGAGACAGGGCTTGCTAAGTTGCCCAGGCTGGGCTCAAACGTGGGATCCTCCTGCCTCATCCTCCCAGAGTTCTGGGATTACAGGTGTGCACCACTATCCGCAGGCATTGAAAATTTTTATAAAACATTAATGAAAACGGTTGAAGAAGTCACAAATGTATGGGATGATGGCCTGTGTTTGTGTATTGGAAGAATTAATGCTGTTAGAATGTTCTTATGACCCAAGGCAATCTATAGATTCAGTATAATTTTTATCAAAACGCAAGTGTCATTTGCTTTTGAAGAACTGGAAAAACAAGCCTTATATCTCTGGGCACCTGTAAAGACCCCAAATTGTCAAAGTAATCTTGTTCTTAAAAGAACAAAACTGAAAAAAAGAAAAAAAAACTGGAGGCATCACACTACCTGATTTTAAAATCTATAATGCTGTAGTAATCAAAACAGCATTACAAACGAATGAAACAGAATAGAGATCCAGAAATCTGTACATTTATCTGTACAAAGATTTGCCAGGTGTGGTGGCACATGCCTGTAGGCACCCAGGAGGCACCCAGGAGGCTGTGGTAGGAGTATTGCTGTGAGTTTAAGGCCAGCCTGCACTACATACCAAGACCCTGACTCAAATAAACAAACAAACAGAGTTTAACAAGCAGTGAGAAAAATCAGTTTCTTAAAAAAGATTTAGGGAAAACTGGATATCCACATGCAAAATGATGAAGTTGTGCCCTTAACTGTGTATAAAAATCAATTCAAAATGGATTAAGGATTTAAGTATAACACCTACAACTTTAAAAATACTAGAAGAAAGTAAGGTGTGGTCACTGGAAAACAGTATGGAAGTTCCTCAAAAAATTAAAAATTTAATTGCAGCACTCTGGAGACTGAGGCAGGAGGATCACTATGTGTTCGAGGCCATCCTGGGCTACATAGTGAGTTCAAGGCTAGCCTGAACTGCATAGTGAGACCCTGTCTGAATCAATCAATCAATACATACATACATACATAAAAATAAAAATAGAAATACCATATGATCCAACAACTGCATTTCTAGGTACAGTATTTATTAAATTATTATTACTATCATTCTTTGGTTTTTTTGAGACATCTTGCTATGTAGTTCAGGCTGACCTTGAACTCATTGTGTTGGCCAGGTTAACCTCATACTTGCAGTGATCATCCTACCTCAGCCTCCTGAGTCTGGGATGGCAGGCATGTGCCACCATGCCCGACTTGGGTATTTACTAAAATTAGTATGTTGAAGAGATGTCTGTACCCATGTTCAGTGTAGCATTATTTATAATTTCTAAGACATGGAATCAACTTAAGTGTCTGTTAGAGGATAAATGGATAAAGAAAATGTGGCACATACATGCACACTATTCAGCTTTATTTTTTTTATTTTTTTTTATTAGTACATATTTGTACTACACTGATTATACTCATTATGAGGAACTGATACATGTATATAACACATCTTCATTTTCTTTTTCATTTGTTTCCCATCTCCTACCTCCTACTATTTCCATCTCCATCTCTTGATCTCCTTCCCTTTTGCAAAAGACTTTTGTCCCTATTTCCTATTACTTTTTATTTAGCTCTTTACAGCTTGTAATAGCTGAGTCAGGGAGGCTGCAGGGGAAAAGAATCCTTTCTGTATTGTTGGTATAAATGTAAACTAGTACAACCACTGTAGAAATTATAGTTAAAAGACAGCCTATGGAAGGAGAAAAACATTTTTGCCAGTTCTTCCTCAGA